AAAAATCAAAATTAAGGGACAAAAGGTTGTAATTGAAAAAAAAAAAATAAGAAATTGAAATCAAGGGGCATAGGGGTATAATTGAACAAAAATAGAAGCTGAAGTCAAAAGACATAGGGGTGCAATTGAACAAAATTAAAAGAAAAAACAAAATCAAAGATGCAGGGATGCAATTGAATAAAAATAGAAACTAAAATGGAAGGAAATAGGGGTGCAATTGAATAGAATTAAAAAGAAAATAAACCAAAATGAAGAAATAGACGGACATAATTGTAAAACATTTAAAATAACATAGGACTAGTTTGGCATTACGAAACTGTGCATTTTGAAGATAGTGCACGTATTGTTCACTATCTTTTTCAAAACAAACCAACTGATTTGGTTCCTTTCAATTTGTCTTCATTCATGTTTTGGCTAGAGATGACCTTGTCCTCCATCTCCAACTGGCATTGTATTAGCCTCATCACTTTAATACCCAAGCAAGCAACACAATAAACACACTGTCCTCTCCCTTTTGTTTCTGCGCCAAAACCCACTGAACGCAATAATACGAGATGGATGAGCGTTTATTGTTTTGGCTTAAAGGAGAAGGGCTAGGAAGAATTGGGAATGATCGACAGGCTGAGGAAGGAGTGAGTTGAGGATAAATAGGGGTCTGGTTAGTCTATGGAGAAAAGAAAGAGAGAGAGTAAAAAACAGAAAAAGAGTTCTCTGGTTTTGAAACTCTGAGGTTTTAGAGTCGTAAAGAGTTCTCTGATTTGGGTGTTTGATAATACAGAAGAGAGTAGCAATGAGAGAGAGTGGGGATCAAAAGGAAAATGGAGCAAAAAAGGGAAAGACTGACTTAAAGCTCTCTACTTTAGAATATTAGAACAGAGGAGGCATTTAGAGGGTAGCTTTACACTCTATCCTTGGTTCAAATTCGGCTTCAGCCTCTCATCGCCACATTGATCTCATCAGGTAATTTCTTCACCCCTTCCATATTTTACAGCTTAAATCTTTCTTCCGTTTGTTATTCCTGGATAACGCATTACAAACGAAGACAGTGACTTCATCACTGTCATCGTGCGATAACCCAAAATTTTGAATAGAACATATGACCCTGGTTTTGTTTGCTGTCCATGGTATGTGAGAATGAAGATGGAAGCTTCAACGGACTTTAGGTAGGTATTATGGCTATTTCTTTTTGTGATATAGATATTGTAGTTAATATAACGAGAAGACGAAGAGAGAGTTCAGGCTGAGGGAAAGAAAAAAGAAGAAGGAAGGGTTTGGGTCAGGGAAAGAAAGAAGTAAAATGGGCTCGAGCCTGTGTTTAGTTAAGTTAAGGTTGGGCTGTTAGGTTAGGCTTTTTGTGGGCTTGGGCTAGCCTGTTGATTAAACAAAGCTGGGTTTAGGAAGGTATAGGCCAAAACTTGGGTTGGGCTAGGTTTGGTTGAGTCTGTTCCAGAAAGAAAACGAAACATACGTGCTGGGCTTTGATTTGGGCTAAGGGCTCAATGGGTGAGGGCCGAATCAGCTTTTCAATCATTTTTTAGGATTTACTTTACCAAGATTGCCTGCTCATTTTGAATTGAAATTCTTATGTGTGTTGCATATGATTATCATTAGTTTATATTTAAAATTTCATAATTTTTGAAGTTCATTTATCATTTATTTTGATTTTTTTTTGTCTAATTGTTAATTTTTTTTAATTATTTAAAAATTAATTTATCTTGCTATTTAATTTTATTTTAATCTGACATTTTTAAAGTACGATTGCATATCTGTAAGTAAGTTATATGTCAAGTTTCATAATTTTATGAATTAATTTTATATTTATTTAGTATTTGTCATGGTTTTATGATCCATTTAGTTATGATTGTTTTAATTCAAGTACCTCTAATGTTTTAATAGGAAATTCTGAGAATTGTATATACATTTGGTTGCCCATGTATTGTGCTTCAATTTTACAATTTCTTTTAATTTCCTTTACCATTTACTTGTAACTTATTATAACCTAGTTATTATGTAATTAATGTAACAAAGGATCATCGAGCCTCCTAAACCGTAGGAATTGATTACGATCCTCCATCAAATTCATCATGCTGAAAAAAAAGTCATTAAAAAAAGAAAAATATATAAAATATAATAAAAAAGGAAACAAGTTTTAAGTTGATATAACAAGTTTTATATTTAATAAGAATGGATGTTATTCTCGACATCAATTAAGGAAAATACAAATCAAGCATCCTTAGTAATTAATTCTTTCTTCGACATACCGACTATATCAAGAATTTAATTGGATTTGATGTTAAATCAAAGAGACTCCTATTTTTGTGGCTGGGGGCTAATGCAATATGATGCCATAATAAAAAAATAAAAAATAATTTAGCTTAAACAATAGACAAACTTTAGAATAAACTTAGAAATAAGTTGCCAAAAATAAAAGAAAAAAGAAAGAAAGAAGATTTTTAGGAGATATATATTTTAATGATTAAACTAAATATATATTTTTTCTCAAATAAAGTGTTTTTGGGTGATCAATATCTTCTCAAATGCATAATAAACTCCTTACCCGTAATCTTTGAATTCGGTGTCATTTTTAGGTTTTTTTTTTTTTTAGTTTTCTTTAATATTAAGTGGTGATTCCAAAATATTAGTTAACTTACATACCTAAAATAAGCAAATAAAAATCCAAACGATTCTAAATAATTTTGAAAGTCTCCTAAATATCTAGTAGCTACAAAAAAGAAGAGTAGCTTATTGGGTGGAGTTTTTCTTGGTGGCTTTGTTAAACTCGACACGAATGGTTCTATGACTAAAATGGATAGTTCAGCTTCAACAGAGAGAGTGCTTCGTGACTCTTTAGGGATTTGGCGACATGGTTTTGCTTACAATATTGGTATAAGTTCAATTTTGAATGCAAAATTTTAGGGGATTTTGGTTAGTCTTGATCTGTCTTGGAATGACGGATTTAGAAAAGTAAAACTTAAGGTTAACTCTAAACTAGCAATATGATCCGGCCTGTGTCATCTTTTGCATGATCAATTATTTTGTTCTATTATTCGACTGCTACAACATCCTTAGAATATCTATTTTCGACACATCTATCGTGAAGGAAACATATGTGAGGAGTTATGCTCATTTCTTAAAAGTTGGAGTTCATTACCTCCAAAAAAACTCCAATTGGATGCCTAAGTATTTTGTTAGATGATATTTGTGAGATTGTTTTTCCCATCCATTTGTAATTTTTAAAACTTTGTCCTCCAATCAATATCATGAAATTTTGATTTTAATAAAAACATATAAATTATTTATGATTACATTTTAAGTTATTAATAATTAAATTGACTTGTAATATATGTAAAAAAAAACTTTAAATTTCTTTTTTTCTTGTTATATTACATTGATTCAATCATTTTTAATTAAAAGTCGTTTTAAAACTTGAATTTGAAAGTAACTTATGTGGATTAAAGTTAAATGAATTTATAAATAACCTTTATAATGTATAAAATAAAGCCTGTTTGGTTGTAATTTTGAAAAAGAGAAAAGAAAGAATAAGCTAAATGATCTTAAATGACAAAAAAAAAAAAAAAAAAAAACAAAGAACCTAGCAAACGCATGCGTAGTGCCATATGCGAATGATACATGACGTATATTCGGTTATTTCATTTTGGTCATTTTATTTCTTTTTGTCTCTGATTTTTTTAATAAAAAATTTTAAGGTAAAAAATATTTTAAAAAGCAATTTACAAAATAAGTTTTTAATTAAGAATCTATTAATTTTTATTTTTTTATACTATTATGAATTTTTTAGTTTATAGATAGAAATAAATAAATAATATTTTTTTAATAAAAAATTTATGAAAATATAAAAAATAATGAGTCAAATATAAAATTTTAATTAAAAAATTAAAAAATTCATATAGTAACAAGACATGTCCTATTTCACAAAACGGATTAATCTTGTGGGATGGCCTCCCGTTTTGATCTTCAAGTAGCAAGATTTTTAATAAATCAATCAAGTCAAAGTCAAAATCAAAATATAACTGTAGTCCAACTCGTTGACACGTCAGCCTGGCCTTCCCATCTTGATCCATTTGGATTCGGAACTCTCCAGATCATCATCTCCCTTCTTCTTATGCTCTGAGCTCCGCACATCAAGATCTCCCCTGGGTTTAATCAGCCTTAATTAATTAACTCTATCCCACGATTGAAAAGTTTATTCATCACAAGTTAATTCTTAATATATATATATATATTACAAGAAAACCCCACAAATCCTCAATGTAATCCTCACTTCTCAATGTTGTCTATCTAAAATTCTTCCTTCTATCCGAATTTAAAAAAGAAATGAGAAAGTAAAATTCTTATACTAACCTTTATTGAAGAATTCTAGCCTACAAAAGAGAAGTCTTGAATAATAATTTCTCAGGTCAAATACAATAGGTTGATGCGCACATGTAAATCCAAGCCCTTGTTGCCAAGGATAAAGAAGAAGTTCAAGAAACGGAAAACCTAAAACCTCCATTTTCTAATCCAATATTGTCCTGAGGAACATTTTGGTTTTTGTTCCCTACAGAAGAAAAACATTTTTTTTCTTGTAACATCAATCAGAAAGAAAGTAGAGACTAGAGAACTTAATGACCAAAGAAAAAATAAACAAAAAAGAAAGTAGAGAAATTACTAACTTTTTACTTTATTGGTAGATAAAGATAATGTTTTCATGACTTACCCCCCCCTTTTTTTTTTTTAATGACTAACGTTTTAACTGTTTGCTTGTTTCTGAAGAAGAAGAAGAAGAAAAAAAAAGCAACTTGTAAATATAAATAGCTGTCTGGTTGGTGAACTTGTCAACACTTCGTTTTCTTTTTCACCAAAATCTATTTTGCCACTTTGATCTAACCAACCTTTCTTGTGTCTTTAAAATTGGTCTTACAACACCTCAAAAACAGAAGCTTCTATTTGTTCTTTTTTAAGAGAAGTGTAACATTAATTGCAGTTCTTGATTGACGAAAATGGCAATCAAAGCCACGCCTGTCATCAAAGATGGCTGCCTCATGGTGAGAGGCAAGGCGGTTTTGACAGAAGTTCCACCAAACATTGTTGTTACTCCGGCAAGCAATGACTCTGCTTTCTTTGGTGCTACTTCTCCAACTCCTAGCTCTCGCCATGTTTTTAGCCTTGGAGTTCTTGAGTAAGTTCTATACCTATTGACATTTTTTGTTTTCATGTGCTTTCTCTGCCTTCACATCCTATTTGAAAAGGAAAATGCAAACTTGGGAATTTTACATCAAGAACTAATAAGCCCTCAACTTAATTGGTATTTCTGGAGCCATGTCACTGGTTGTTTCATTGTGATGTATGTGGTCATTACAGGAAGTACAGGTTCTTGAGCCTTTTTAGAGTCAAAATCTGGTGGATGATACCTCGTGTAGGGAAATCCGGGAGTGAAATTCCCATGGAAACTCAAATGCTTTTATTGGAAGCAAGAGAGGAGTCTGCGTTGAATGGTGGGATGATTTCTTCTGAGACATCCACTGAGAACCCTCTCTACATTCTTTTCTTGCCTGTCTTGGATGGACTATTTCGAACCAGTTTGCAAGGAACTTGGGCAAATGAGCTCCAATTCTGCATTGAAAGTGGTCAGTTTGAGATTATTTTGCTTAACTGATTTCTGTTTAATTAATTAAAAAAATCTATTTAGTATCAATTCAATTTCATATTTTGTGTTGATTCTTTAGGAGATGCTAATGTCCAAACCTCCCAAGCACTTGAAGCAGTATTTATAAACTCTGGGGAGAACCCTTTTGAGCTTATTAAGAATTCTGTCAAGTATGTTTCACATCAACATAAATTTATGATCTTTTACGTAATGCTTTTGTTGTTCAATTGCATGTGCTGAATTCTTTCCTTTTGTGTGTGCGTTGATGAATCATACAGGATACTGGAGAAACACAAGGGTACATTTTGCCATATTGAGAACAAGAAGGTATAATGTTTTACAGAATTTGTTTGAAATGTAGATAGACGACTGTAAAATCTCGTTTCAATTGACTGGTTTTAACTGGTTTTTGACAGATTCCTGCACATTTAGACTGGTTTGGCTGGTGCACTTGGGATGCTTTTTACACTGAAGTGAATCCACAAGGAATCAAAGAGGGTCTTCAAAGGTACAATAAGAAAGTAGAGAATCCTCAGTCTATGAGAAGAAGCCAATTTGTTTGTCTGATAGAATGGTATTAAGGTTGTTTACTTGCACTATATTTTCTAGCAGTTTCTTAGAAGGTGGGTGTTCACCGAAGTTTCTTATCATTGATGATGGCTGGCAAGACACAGTGAATGAATTTCGCGAAGAAGGTGAACCTCTTATAGAAGGGACACAGTACGTCTAATCTTGCAATCTGATAAGTTTCCCTCCTATTTAACCTGAACTTGTTAATACTAACATTTTCACTTCTGCCTACCTGCACAGGTTTGCTACTAGGTTGGCCGACATCAAAGAAAATAGCAAATTCAAAAGTCTAGGTCCAGAAGAAGACTGTACCAATTTGCACGAATTTATTGATACCTTGAAAAAGAAATATGGATTAAAGTAACCATTCTAATCTGGATATTGAATTTCAATTCTTTTTTGCACAGAGATTCTTCTATTGTTATTGTATGGTTAACCATAGAGCAAATCTTGATCAATGCAGATTTGTTTATATGTGGCACGCTTTAGCTGGGTATTGGGGAGGGGTTCTTCCATCATCTGATGCAATGAAAAAGTACAACCCAAAACTTGTGTATCCAATTCAGTCACCTGGTAATGTGGGGAACATGAGAGACATTGCAATGGACAGCTTGGAGAAATATGGAGTTGGAGTCATTGATCCTAGTAAGATATTTGATTTTTACAATGATCTTCATAGCTATCTGGCAAGCAATGGTGTAGATGGAGTCAAGGTGGACGTCCAGAATCTGATTGAAACTTTAGGCTCTGGATTTGGAGGTCGAGTGATGTTGACTGGACAGTATCAGGAAGCACTTGAGCAATCTATTGCAATAAACTTTAAAGGAAATAATCTAGTTTGTTGCATGAGTCACAACTCTGACTCAATTTACAGGTTTTCTTCTTACCTGCCTTTTCAGTCCTAAAATAGGTAACGCCAAGTTATATGCAGCATTGTTTTGTAATTTTGACTAGATTGAATGTTTGTTGACAGTTCAAAGAAAAGTGCAGTTGCAAGAGCATCAGAGGATTTCATGCCAAGAGAACCAACATTTCAGACCTTACATATTGCCTCTGTAGCTTTCAACAGCCTTCTTCTGGGGGAGATTGTGGTGCCGGACTGGGACATGTTCCATGTAAGAAATCTTGGATATTCTGAAAATGATATCTAATAAAGATGTGATTGAGTATTCTGTATCATGCATGGATCTAGTATAATTATAAAAAATTTTATGTGTTGCATTCATGGAAAGCTTTATATTACAGAAATTGTCTGCAGTCGAAGCCCAGTGAACAGAATTGAGTGTTTATAGACATCATTTTTGCATCCAGATAGTAGAAAAATTTAACCATTGGTATTCAAACAATTAACTTGCAAATAGAAGTGGAAACTTTTTCTCTCCTCTTTTTTGAGAAATAGCATTGAAACTTAAAACTACAGAAAGAAAAGTAATACTGATTCTTGGTTTCAGAGCAAACACGATGCTGCCGAGTTACATGGAGCTGCAAGAGCATTGGGTGGATGTGCAATATATGTCAGGTGAGCTAAGATTCTTTTATCTTTTAATTTGAATATCTTCAGGAAAGATCTATGTAATTCTTCCATGCATTTCATTGCAAAAATAATAAAAATTCTTTTCATATGAATACAGTGACAAGCCAGGCATTCATGACTTTAAAATCCTGAAGAAACTGGTGTTGCCTGATGGGTCTATCCTGAGAGCTAGACATGCTGGCCGTCCCACAAGAGATTGTTTATTCCAAGATCCTGTCATGGATGGGAAAAGGTGAACAGTAACTCTGATTACAACCTCTACATACGAGTGTGTCAATTATAAACATCGATCTGGTCTTTTACTAATCAGTTTGTGCTTTCAACTCTTTTGTAGTTTGTTGAAGATATGGAACTTGAACAAATTAACAGGGGTTGTTGGTATTTTTAATTGTCAAGGAGCAGGAGGTTGGCCAATGAAACAAGAAGCTGAAGAAGTACCTGCTGCACCATCAGTGCCTTCTTCCCTTTCAGGTCAAGTGAGTCCTATTGATGTTGAATTTCTTGAAGAAGTTGCAGGTGAAGTTTGGAATGGGGATTGTGCAGTCTATGCTTTGAATTCAGGTTAGCTTATATATATATATTGTACATATCAAATACTCAGGATCTAAAACCAACTCAGAAATAAAGGCATCATTTCCAAAATTTTGCCTAGACAAGATATGCCTTATTTGCAAGATGGAGGACCTGTTGATATGGTCTTCAACCCATTAGGAGTACACTTGCGGATCAGATCATCCATATAATATACAAAAAGAAACTCCAGATATTTGATATCTTTTTCTTTGAATGAGATCTCAATACCAACGACGGTTTCATTAGATATCTTACAACTAGAATCCCTCTTTTGTCCAATCCAATTCCTCCACCACCACGAACCCCAGTTAGATTTAGACATGATATATATATATATATCAAATACTCAGGATCTAAAACCAACTCATCTAGAATTTCTGGTAAATTATTTCCTGCAGGATCTCTTTCTGTGCTGCCAAAGAAAGAAATTCTTGAAGTGTCCTTGACCACTCTTAAATGCGAGATATATACTGTCTCTCCAATTAGGGTCAGTAAATTAACCACCTTGCTTTTTCATTGTATTATCTTCCTATGAAGTACCCTACTCGTAACCATGCTGATTGTTTGTGTAGCAGGTTTTCGGTCAGCATCTTCATTTTGCTCCAATAGGATTGCTTGATATGTACAACTCAGGAGGAGCAGTTGAAGCTGTGAACTGCATTATCGATGTTTCAACTTGCACAATCAAAGTCAATGGCCGAGGTTGGGGCCGATTTGGAGCCTACTCCAGCACTAAACCAACCTTTTGCATGGTGGACATGAAAGAAGAAGAGTTCACTTACAAAGAAGAAAATGGATTATTGACAGTTAAAATTGGAGGCATATGCAAATTAAGAGATATAGAATTCATATATTAGGTTGCTTGTGTTTCCATAGAAGTTATATGATTCTACAAAGGTTGAGGAGTACCCTTCCAGGATTTTGCTTGATTTGAATGAACTGTGCAGTTGCAAAAGATAAAAATAGCCTTGGTATCATGGTATGGTATGAGTAGCATGAGTCAATATGTTATGGTAAATCAGTTCAGTTCCTGTGAAGCGGTTGCCTCTAGAAAGCTAACTTGGGCTAAATTCTATATACTAATTTATCCAGCTGTTTTTTTGTTACCTTCTTTGTTGATTTTTGATTTACGAAAATTTTGGTCGTAGAGGAAGCTAAAGGCTAAATGTTCTATTCATCTTTTTATGGTCAATGAGCATGTAATGATTTGCTTTTGGTTGAAAAATAAAATATTTGTCTTTATAACGTTTCATATATATTCTAAACGATTCATAAAGAATTTATATAAGATCAATATTGTACCCTTAAAATAATTATCTAATTTTGACAATACTGGTATTTAGCCTTTTTTCTTTTCTTTTTTAACAACTAAGCATTTGTTATATAAGCACACACATCAACTATGTTAAACACCAATTTTGATTTAATAAGTTGCCTATGATATAGTTTATACAATAATTACAATCTATATTAGTACAAAATCAACCGATATTAGTAATAATTATTGATTAAAAAAAGTGTTTAATGGTGAAAATTGCTTTTGTTCTATTGCAAATTGGCATTTTTAAGCATTTAGTATCAAATTATCCTAAAATATCGATTTTCAACCAAATTTCATCCAAATATCTTAATTTCTATTATTTGTAACTATTAACTAGGTTGATTATTAAATAGAATGTTAAAACGACGTCATTTTGTGCATTCGATGTTAATTTATTTTTTAAGAAGCTCAAAATTAGGAAGATTAAAAATAAAAGTTTAAAAACAAGAGTCTAAACTTTTAAAAAATAAAAATAAAAATTTTTAAATAAAACTTCAGACTTTTATTTTAAAACTTTTTATTTTTATTTTTAAACCCCTAATTCCGAACCTTTTTAAAAAACAATTAATTTTTTTTTAAAGGAATGCACAAAACTTATCACTTTAATTTAATCTCTATAATTCTGAACTTTTATTTTTAATTTTTTTAAAAAGAAAAATTAATTGTGGAATGCATAAATCGACATTACAATCAACCCAATTGACCATTACCGATAAAGGAGATGAGAAACTTTGGATCAAATTTGTCAAAAATTAATATTTTGAAATTTAAATTACACAATTTGATACTAAAAGTTTGAAATTGTCAAATTGTAATAAAACGAGGGCAATTTTTGCCATTAAACCTAGGGGTGAGCATAATTCCGATTAATTGAAAAACCGAACCGAACCAAATTATGTATTCGATTCGGTTTTGAACTTAAATTTGTAAAATTGAAAACCAAGCCAAAAAAACCAAAATTATTTTTGTTCAGTTTGGTTTTTAAAATTTTTTTTTGGTTAAAATTGAAAACCAAATATAGTGAAAGTAAAAGAAAAAAATGGTTAAATTTATGTAAAATTGTTTATAATGTATGCCAATTCTTAATTTCATTCCTAATGTATTCCCAATACTTGAAAAAAAAATTATTTATGAAACTTTATAAAACTTGAATTGGTTTAAGATATTAAATAACCAATTCGATTTCATAAAATATAAAATCACTAAATAACTAATTCAAATTTTGGTTTAACATATTAAATAATTAATTCGATTTCATATTAGTAAAATTTATAATGTACGCCCAATTCTTAGTTTCATTCCTAATGTATTCCCAACACTTCAATATATATATATATATATATATATTTTTTTTTTTCTTAACATCAAATTTTTACGAAATCGAATCGAAATAATTTGGTTTTAAACCGAATTTATTTCAATTCGATCTCGATTTTAGTTTTTTTTTTTTTTTTTTTTAATTTGGTTTATACAAAACCAAATCATTTAACCATTTGCTCATTTTTAATTAAACCAACAAAAAAGTGATTTAATTGTACCAGAGGTACTTTATTCTTGACATTTTCTTCTCATGGGCTTTATACTTTTTTCTTTTTTTTTTATTAAAACCCTCATGCTCTTTATTTTTTCTTAATATGGTCTTTTTGACTATTTTTCAGTTAATTTTTTGATCAAAACCGATAATAATTCATATGACGTGATATTTCATATTTTTTTGCCATGTGGAGAAATTAAAAGAAATATTTTATTTTTTCTCCCCACTCTCTCTCTCTCTCTCTCTATTAACCCAACTTTTTGTGAACTGATGAAACAACACGAACTACAAGTGATTCTGCTCCTGGAACCTAGGATACAGATCGGTAAAAGTAATTAGATTGCGCCAATTGCCACGCATATTGATGGTCTAATTTTCAAGCACCTAGAACAAAACTCAGTCTTCAAAGAAGCAAAAGTAGAAGTTTACCAGAGGGGTGAATTGTTTAACTGCTAAAAATATGCCATTGTGGGGAACAATGATCTAAAATGTGTGGAGATAAAGTTTCAAATGCAGAGCGATATAATTACAACAGGATCAGAGAGACAGCACAGCCATTGAAGCAACCAAATGTTATTCCGGCAACTAATTGTACTTACAACTTAATAACGACAACAGCTACATAGAAACTTGTTTCAACGTGAAAAAAAAAATAATAATAAATAAATAAACTCATGTAGTCAATATTCAAATAATTTCAAATCATATTTCCCACGGTATTTGCATTGTCTACATACTCTTGAAAAAAAGGATATTCTCATAACGAAACTTGATTGGTAATTTTTCAGGAAAGCAGGAATCAATGGTCATTATAGGAATTCATACAAAAAAATAATTAAAGCATAGGAAGTCAAATAGAAATTTAATGAAATAGATTCATCAACAAAGTCCTTTCAACAGATTGTCCCTGAAACTAACACATCCCAGTGACGGCTCCTTTTCAATGCCAGTAAAACTGGCGAAGCACTATTCAATGGCTCTCCCACTCCAGATACTGTTCTTGTAAAGTAGCCGAAGGTACTTACTCAACGGCTTTCCATTCAGTAGGTCCATATTCTTATATTCTGTTGTTAAAAATAATTAAAGCATAGGAACACTTTGTTCTACTACTCTTGGTACGTATAACAGTCTTGCTCTTTCTTTTTTTTTTAATTAATTAGAAACAAAGTCTAAGCCATGTCAATTTTCATAAGCATATGCTTATATGAGTTAAACTTCTTTCAATATAACATGCACTGCAAGCATATTTTCATCATTAATTACTAGCCCACATGTTAGCACTATGAAATAAACTCTGTGGATTTTAAAAATCAACTACTGGAAGAAACAACACAGGCCACAGCATGATCTGTAACCCACATCATCAAAACTTTTCAGGTATGTTATGAAACATTTTATGTCCATTTATTTTTTTTCATGAATTATCACAAGCACATTCAAGCTTTTCATATGGAGTTTCTTGAATTATCGAACTTTGATGGGTTGATGACGGGGAGGAATTTGGAGTTGCAGAAGAGCAACAATGCATGTTTGGGAACTGGTATGATGGGATTGTTTCGAAGGTGAATTAATTGTTGGTTTTGTTTTGAAATATTAGTTGCTTGAACTAACTGGTGATGAGTAGGCAAAAATTGTTGAATTGAGTTGAAGATTTTCCTTAGAATTCATGGAAATTACAAGAAAGTTGTTTGATGGCATTGTGAATAAGAATTTGGTGACATGGGCAACAATGATCCAGGCTTTTGTCAAGGTTGATTTGCCGTTTGAAGCTTTATGCCAAGCTTGTTCTATTCTAACATTTGGATTTGGATGTTGGGTTAATCAAACCAGACGAGAGGGAGAGGGAGGAGAAAAATTAAAATTTTTTTTTTAAAATTTTTTCCATGTGGTAAAAAATATGACATAGCACGTCATATGGATTATTTTATACCAACTATCGGTTTTGATTAAAAAATTAGTTGAAAAATAATCAGAAGGAAGGATTAAATAAATAAAAAAATACAAAGGATAGAAGAATAGAGGGATGTGAGATGCGATTAAACCACAAAAAGGTATACTGGCCGTTGATCATAATAAAATAAGTTATTATACTGATTATTTTTGTTAGTCTTTTGAATTAAAAGAAACCAGCATGTTCGCTCTCTAGTAGTAGCAGAGAAGAATAGGAGATTCTACATTAGGGTTTCAAAATAAGTTTTCTAGAGAAGAACAAAGCCTCTGCTTCGATACAGATCACTTCAGAGGGAGCAGCAAGCAGCATAGACATTCCGTCCGTTGAAGAAAAAGATCACCGACTCCTTGGAGCTGGCAGAATACCAACTCCAGAAAATAACTGAATTCAAAAACCTATCGAAGTGGAAGGTGAACGTTTGGGGTCAAATACGCTAAGTCGGAAGAGTCTGAACGGGCGTTGAGCCGAGCTCGCTCTCCCCGTCAAACCCCATGAACAAAGCTTATGGATCAAATACGTAGAATTTGAGATGAGAACAAAATGATCAATCACATCAGAAATGTGTAGGATTGTGCCATTTCACACTTGCCTCGGTTTGATCATCTCACATGGAGGAAATGCTCGGTAACATTCCTGGTGCGAGACAGATCTTTGAAAGATTGAAGTCCTATATGCTCCCTAATCACCAAGGATGGTTCTCTTACATTCAATTTGAACTTAGGTATATGGAAATTTAACAAGCTCCATAGATTTTTTATTGTTGTGTTCAATGACATCCTAAAGTTAGTAATGTTTAGATTCGTTATGCCAAAGTTTGAGATGAAGAACAGAGGAGTTGAGATGGCTATTAAGGTTTATGAAAGAGTGGTTGATGAATTTTGACAAGGATGGTGTTGATTATGATGTAGCGGTGGAGTTGGTTGTGGCCTTATCAGAATTTGAGGAGCAATGTAAAGATATAGAACGTGCTCATTGTGTCTACAAGTATGCCTTGGATTGAATACCCAAAGAGAAGGTCAAGGATTTGCAATGTAAGTTTGTGGAGTTCGTGAGGCTGTATGGGGATAAGGAGAAGATTGATGATGCCATTTTGAACAAAAGGAGGGTTCAATATGAGGACGAAACTAGAAGGGATCCCTTGAATTATGATTCCTGGTTTAGTTACATCCAAATGGAGGAGAAGGCTAGTCTTGAGAATATGGAGAGGATTAGGAACCTTTATCAGGGGGTAATTAGTATGGCCCAGCAAATGACAAGGAGAAGAAGTTCTAGAGTAAATACATTTATTTAATTGTTTCTCTATACCAACACTATATTGCTTATTCATTTTCTATTTACTACTGCATTGTAGAGGTATTTGTTACTAATTACTTCTCCATTTTGTGATATATAGGATCTGTTATGCCTTGTACAAAGGGCTCGAGGTTGGAGTCGTTGGGCTCACTCGTGAGGTCTACAGGTATTCTATCTCTTGCTGATTTTCTTTTCTCTAGCATCTTGACTAATGGCTGGTGTAGATAGTTACTGTAGTGATGTTACTTCTTGAGTTATAGACCTACTGCCATGATCTCTTTTATCAATTAAGTTGTTCTCAGTTCTTCTTTGTATTTGGGATTCTGTATTTTTATTGATCCTTGTATTTATTTTTTTCTTGTTATTTTCAGTAAGGAATCCTTTGCAAATGTTTTAATTCATACTTAGTGTCGCTACCCTATATTTAAAAGACTTTCTAAAATTTTATGAAAAAGTAAAAGAGAGTTTAAAAAAGGTTTTAAATCGTCATCTTATCGCTACCTAATATTTAGGAGACTCATGTCCTAAAAATAAATAATAAATTCAAATAATTTTTATTTTATTTTGGAAGTTCAAATCATGGTGCAAGGGAAATACATACCTCATCATGTACTTGGTTGTCATTTTTATAGCCTCGGACCCCTTAGGCCTCCTCAACACCGTATTCCCGGACACCAATTCAGCATTCATTATCTCAAAGGCATATAAATCTCCATCACATCTTCTTTCTACTTCTACATAAGTCACCGATGCATTATTTGCCATAGATAAAGCTTCCTCGACAATAACGATAATCAACTTGCCATTTGTCATAAATTTGAGCCTTTGATGTAACAAATATGTCACGACCCCACCGAGTGGATCCAAGGTCGACTCAAAAGCATACTATAAGAGGCTCGAATGTTAATGACCTACGGGGTGACTTGAAATTGATTTGGTCTTATATGTAGATCGATATCGATATCTTCTATCATTTATCTAAGAGAACCATCATAAGTTCTTGTCATCATGCTACTTGAATGCATGTATGATGCATCGGCAAGGAAGCGATCCAAGATATGCCTAGGTAAGACATTAAAAATAGAGTTGTTATCAATCGGGAAATTAATGATCACATGATCTTTGCATTTGACCGTGATATGTAGTAGCTTGTTATGACTAGTACCTTTCAAACCTAATTCATTTTTAAAAAGTATAGATAATTAGTTGCTTGGATCTTTCCCACTAGATGGTCTATTAAATCGAAGTGATATCTTATGGGATAAATGTTTTATTCAACACTTTCCGCAATGCTCGCTCAAAACTCAAGATGAGCAATAACAGAGAAATCTTGCCTAGGCTTTCCTTCGACTGATCTACCATAATATAGTCATTATTTTTCATGATCTTGAGAAAATCAATGACTTCATCATCATCAACCGGCTTGCTTACCTCACGTATCTTTGAGCAATCCATTACTTCATTCCCTTCAATCTTTCTTTATAGCTCTAGTTCCTTAAGGGTAAAACACCTCTCACTTCTTGTAAGGTCGGTAATATTAGTACTCAAAGATGCGTTCATGACCGAGTATGTGTGGCTCACAACATTGTAAGGCGAGCAAGGTAGTTCTTGGTCATGTTAAGTACCGATGAGATCATTCTTGGGGGTCTATTATCGATGGATTGATACCGACATATTTTTTTTAGCTTATCTCTTGTTATAATATCATTCCTACTACTCGATCCTTCTTTTCCTTTCTCTATTCAAAAGGTTCCAAAGACCATCATAGTCTCTACCTCTTGGTAGAATTAATTGCAAGTATCGATGTCATGCCTTCGTTCTCTATGGTATTTGCAATATTAGATCTTATTATCTTTAGTTTGATTTCGATAGGTTCTTGCATATGACAAGTATAGTGAAAAATCTATCCATCAAAATCCTTACTCCGATTCCTTGAAAGCTATTATTTAAACTCTTCATATCATGGCATGATTAGGGAGAGGATTAGTATTCGGGTTGTGAGCACTCGAGTCATTGTCAAAACTTATCCACCCATGCTTGATAAAGCTTCGTAACTTTTTTTAAAGGCTATACAATCTTCTATACCATATCTAATGATACCATTATAATATTCACATTGGTCATCCTTTTTATACCATGGTAGATATAGAGGTTGCACTAATTCTATTATAATTGAGGTCACTTGCCCTATACTAACCAATCATTTAAACATTTCTCCTAGATAGAAAACGAGTGGTGGGAATGGTTTAGAGTCCACTTTTTTGTATGGGTTGTTTCAGTTGAATTGGTTATGGAGTGTTTGTTGATTGTTAAAATTTAGAGTATTGCAAAAGGATCTAATAGAGTGAGAAAATTGATTTGTTCGCAAGTTAGAGTAGTCGAGTAATATTGGTTTGTTAGATTTTGTAGGAAAGGATGATATGTTTGATTGACTAGGTGTGGGTTGTATTTGGGTTATAGGGAATGTGATAGCTATTTTGATCGTTGGGTTGTGAGTGAATGTTGGGGGAATGAGGGTGGTTGAAAGTTATTAGGGAAATGTTGGTCATTATATCTTTCTTAATTATTCCATTGGTTTTTGGGTTGATAGGACTCAATTTCAACTCGATGAGCCTCACCTTCTCTTCTTTGATATCGCTACTTGCTTTCTTCTTACAACTACTAAATATCTTTCTAGCCTTGATTGCATGTTCTACCTTTTCTATGATAATCACAATTTAGGTGAAATTTAAGGAGAAACTCCCGATCATGTATTCAAAGTAGAATATCTTGAAAGTTTTTGAGAATATGGAAATCAATTCTAACTCAAGCAAAGGTGGATGAATCCGAGTGGCCACTTTACATCACCTTTGAGCATACTCCTTGATGGTTTCCTTTAGATCTTTTTCCATACTTTATAGGTCCGACCAATTCGAGTTCCTTTTCTATTAAATTTATACTCGCTTTATGAAGGCATTAACTCAACCCTTCTATTTTTTTATCTTGGCACCATTTAGTCACATGTACCAACTTAGAGGAGATCTATATAGACTTTTATGTATCGGTAATTTCTCATCATACACAACCCTGACCATTTTGCTAACAATACATTGACAAATGAGTCATTGGGCAATCGATTGTCTATGTGTTTGCTAAATTCTAAAACTCTAAAATTCTAGAAAATTACCATATATGGCACTAAACATATCTCAAAAACTCTTATAGGATCATATATATTAGTGCCCTCAATAGCCTAGAGGCGCTCTTTAATTACCGACAATTTGTTCAAGTTAGGTTCTTTTATTATTTTAACCTAGGGTGAGTCTCTTCTCCAATAAGGTCTATAGTAGGTATGCCTTATATTTGTGAAGCTAATGGGACCATTGCATAAAAAAATTACCCGATCGGGAATGACGTCTCAATAAAAACTATGGTTACCTTTAGATTGGCGGACGGGATGGTAGATGACCCAAATTGTATGTTTGGCATAGGAATGACGTCTCAACAAAAACTAATAAAAAAATTACCTTCAGATTAGCGGACAAGATGGTAAATGACGTCTCAACAAAAACTATGGTTACCTTCGGATTGGGAAACAGGATGGTAGATGACCCAAATTTTATGTTTGGCATAGGAATGGGATATGACATTCCTCCCCGAATCTAATCTCGGCTTGAAGTTCCATCTCCACTTAGCAAGTGCCTCTAATGCCCTTTATAGTAGGTTGGAAAGGCTTTCATGGCATCAAGCTCTTGTTGGTGGGTTTGTTCTAATCGTGCATTTTCTTCATTCTCCATTTATCATCACTAAAGTTGAATGTAGTGTATTCGGGAAGTAAGTTAAGTTTTAATGGGATGACTTATATTTTAATTCTTATAAAACTAAAAAAGATATATATATATATATATATATATATATATACATGCAAAATGTGAACTAGGTTAGATACGTTTTTATGCCATTACGGACTTTAATCATAACAGAGCTTATACTAAGGATGGGCTAGGTCAAAGTTTAAGTACTTGCCGAGGGTACAATCTCACGGATACTTTGGGCAATTCGAAAAACATATTTACCTTATTTTTTGGCTTTTTTGGTTGGGAATCTTGAATGATGACGAATCTTGTAACATCATAAATAGAAAAAATTAAAATTTGGACTTTTAACATATTCTAAACGTGACTTAGAGTCATTTTTCATTAAAAAGTAAAAATAGTACAACGGTTTGACTTATATTATAATGATTACTAAAAAAAAAAACTACAACCATTCAATTTATATTAGAAAGCTTATAACATCTTCATTACATAATAGATCCCTATTCTAACTCTTTCCATATCCTTAAACAATCGTATGAGGTAGCACGGACTATAAAGTTTTTAAGTCTCTCATAAAAGAGCTTAAGTTTTTCTTTTGTGATATGCTCATTGGTTGCTAGTTACTCAACCATGTGATGCATTTTCAAAGGATTAGTTCTTGGCATTCTAAGTTTGTAAGTGATACGTCATGGTTTAAGAATCCATTTAGCCATATCTCTTTTTACAACACCCCTCTTTCTAGCCAATATCCGAATGGCTAAAGCATGCTCTTCCCATATCTTGGATATTTCTTCCTGGCAATCTTGATTCCTCCTTCTAACTCCCTTAGATGGGCGTTCAACTATCGGATTATTTGAGCTTGATTTACAACTTGATCTTTAGTGGTAGCTTCGACCTCTTCAAGATCTTCTTTTTCAGCTTTGAGTTCTTCTATCTCATCTTAGAGCTCTCCTTTCTCAAAATCAAGTTCGATCATTTCCTCGATCATTAAGGTCGTGAAATCTGTTAGACCATCATATTCTAAGCTTAATGCCGGATTCTCGATCCTCAATTGCCTTAAAGCATTCTTAGTTTGTTGATGTCGAACTCGAAGTTCCTCTTTCTCCTTTTCTAAGGCATTCACTATTTGGTCCTAAGTTTCTAAGTTCTTTTCTAACCTTTTTTTCTTCATCTTTAGCTCTTTTATTTTAGAGTTCGGGTTTTTATGGTAGAGTTTATGTTGATCATTTGCTTCTTAGTGGATGTCTTTCATGATCTCACTTATCAGCCTTGATGGTCTTTTGAAAGGTGGAACTCGATTCCTTTTCCCTCTAGTTTGTTGCCAATTTGGATAAGTGAGAGAAGTCTTTCCAAGCAACTCTTTTTTTTAAAGTGATAATTTTTTTATATCTTCGAGCTCTCTTGGATTCCTCCGAAAATTTTTTAAAAGTTTTGAAGTCTTTATAATATTCTCGCAGTTCGATAGTCCTCAAAATAAATTGCTTAAACTCTAATTACCTTAAAATGGCTAATGCAAGCACCTAGTCGCCATCAAAGGTACCTAGAAAAAGCTACCACCGTAGGTCGGATAGGAGCGAGAAGAATGTATAATATGGTCTCTAATAAAACTCGAACTCGCTCTAAGCTAAGAAACATCCTAGTCTAGGTGACCTTGTTGATCTTATTGGGAGAATGGTCAGCAAAATTTTCTAGCTTTGAATATAAATGCCAATATGCTCTAAAGATTCTAATAGCTTTTTTAGTCACCACATGACTCACGGTCCGAAAAAACAACAACTAAACACAAGCATCTCAAGTATCCATCACTCTTTCTCTTATAAAAATTTAATCATGAAAGGGTTTCAGCGAAAATTATCGTTGCAAGATTAATTTTAAGTGACACCACATTCTAAGACACATTCACTACGTAAAATGTATTATCTCCTTAATCGATGGTGGTAATAGTAGCCTATATATTGTTAGTGCGGAATCCTCAATATGATGGTGTTATCGTGGTCGCCTTGATGCTTTTTAATTTTAATTGAAATAGATTCAAAAATCACCATTGACTCTAACCTCTTTTAGTTGCTTCTTAGTCACCATCATATGATCAAGCCTAACTAAACGTGCAAACTTGGAGGGAGCTTACTCCAACGGAATGTAGAAATATACGATGTCCGATTTAGGGTATGCTAGTAAAGCCTTATATTCATCAAGTGTTGGTGAGAGATCTATACTTTCAAATATGAAAGATTGGTACTCGGGATCTTAATGTCCTATCATTGCTTGAAAGCAAGAGATTTAAGTTTTTACCTTAAATAGTTGAGCTATGTCACCATATAATTTCGAAAGTCAAACCGAGTCTTAGGATGTAAGCATTTACTAAAAGTTGAAGAGTCACATTAGCTATGATGTTAGCAAATCCCTTTTTCCCTAGCTAATTTGACATAAAATCCAAACGTAAATAATCTCCTTTTCTCAAACTAGGCCCATTCCAACTCGGCCTTTAAATCCTCTATAGTACATATCATTCTCTCTATCATGATTTATTTTTTTGTGACAACCTACTAAAATAAAGGTTAGAATGGACATTATTATAAAGTAATTGGTGTCTCAATGGGTCAACCCTAATAGGTAGGATCTAACCTTTTTAAATAAAGTTTAGGCAAAATTTGTCTAATCTTGAAGATTTTTCAAGTTCTCAAACCGTCTAAATTACTAGTAGGGTAATTTAGCCTTTAACCTTATGCATTAAGAGATATGAAAAAGTCATTTTATAATTTTTTTTTTTATACATAAGGTGAGTTTCAATCTAAACGAGAGTCTAGATGAACATCAATAGACTTTAAACATACTTACCATCTAGATCTCTTTATCTAAATCCAAAAGAGGGTTTTAGCTCAAGTCTAGAGCTTCTACAACCACTGATTTTAAAGGTTTGTTTAAAAGTTTTTTTACTCGATTGTTGTTGATTGTTTCCAGCCTAAACAAGTGTGCAATTGAAAGAGCATTAGAGGATTGGCTAAAGGTATCCAGCCACTTCAAACTATTGATCAAAGTGTTACTAGGATCTGAACAAAAAATTTCTGTGCAATTGAAAGAGCATTTGAGGATTTGTCCTTGAACAAATTGTTCGATTTGATTTAGTCCATTGACAATTCCAACAAGGGTCACGTTCAAGATCTAACAGATCTCACATGTTGCTGTCATTGCATTTTACAGTCCTATAATGGAGGAGACTGTGTAACTGGATTGGGATATGTTTCATGTAAAATGTTATTTACCTGTTTATGTTTATCTCCTGATATCCCAACTCCATCATAGGCAATTTTTCAGCAATGCTGGAGCAATCAAAATTCTTGATAAGAAACTCCAAACACACAAATGCTGTCTTACCATGTTGTTTGCTTAAAAGCATTAAAACTTTTCTTAATTAAATAGCATCAAGGTCAAATCCTGTGCTGCAGAGCAACCATTTCACATCTGAATCTCATGCTGCAGCGGAGGAATTGGGTGGCTGTCCATAATATGTAAGGTGTGATGAACTAGTTATTAATGTTAAAATTTACTTGATGTTCGAAATTCTTTTTTGTCCTGTGAGCACCTGCACAAAATTCATTTTTTATAGCGACAACCTGACAAACCTAGCAGACATGATATCAAGATCCTAAAAAGGCTAGTGTTGCCTGATGGCTCGGTTATAACTTCTAAGAGCTACATATCTTAATCGGCCTACTCGAGACTGCTTGTTTATCATGGCTGGAAATAGGTCATTTAAAGGTTCTACATAAAATACCTTGTGATATCAATGTCTGCCTCAAAATATTTTATTCTTGGTTTTTGCTTTAACCATCATCTCTTGATTGACCTGTAGCTTGCTAAAAGTTGGGAACTTGAACATGTTCTGTGGGATCGTAGGCAGATTTGATTGCCAAGGAGCTGGAAAGTGGTCCCCCAACGTGAGTGCTGACAATGTTCCTGTTGCTACATCTGCACCTTCATTCATTTCAGGCCATGTCCGTCCTCAGGATGTTGAATCACTAGAGCAGGTTGCTGGTGAAAATGGACTGGAGATTCAGCAATATATGAGTTCGTGTAAGGTTAATTCATAATCAATTTTTACCTTATCCTAGCTAGATTCTTACTTTCATCTCTTAGACAACAAATATTTTTAGACGTCACATATAGTGCTGCAATATCTCTTACCACATGGCAAGGAAAGGAAAACTTGAAGTATCCTTGGGAGTTCTACTATGTGAAGTATATATTCACCGATCCCCCATTAGGGTTGTAAATCAAACACTCTTTTGTTTCAGATGAATTCCCTGTGTAAATTCTAATGGCACTTCTCAAGCACTTATCATTACAGGTTCTTAATAAAAAAAATTCTGATGTATGCATCCCAAACATTGCCTGTTCTTTGCCATTCTACGGTAAAGTTACGTTGAGTTGTGTATTAACTTGGCATGTTACAATTAAATGTGGAGTAAATTTCGTTCATGAGCAAATTTCGTTTATGAGCAGGAAGTTAAACAGGGTGACATTACATTTGGTATATTTTCCTGCCAAAGTTAAGGTCAGGATATTCCATTTCCTTTTGGCCTTCAAAAGCTTATCCCTTGTCTGATAACTCTTGGCTACTATAAAATTGGATCTCAAAAGTTTCGGGCTCAATACTACTGTTCTCTAGATTCGAAATTTTCGTCATTGATTATGCTATGCAAATAAGATAAATTTTATAATATTTAAAGAATAACTAATAACATAAAAAAGATAAATACATAAAAAAAAATTACATTTAGATTCGTCAAAAGTTATGAAAAAATTTTTTACCTTGATTTAATTTTTTTTAATTTTCTCTGTTATATTTCTTTCTCTTTTGTAATGTGTACCTTTTTATTTAAAATAAATCTATAAAATATTTACTATATATATTATTAATTACATCTTAAATATCATAAAATTTATCAGCAAACAATTAGAGCATGGAGTTGCATGGCCTTTTTGTTGTGGTGTAAGAGCCCGATGGACACGTCGTGTCCTAATGTGCATAGCATGCACAATTGTCACCACTCACTTTGGCAAACTTATCATGAATTAGTAGTACTAACTATTTTGATTTTATTTGAAGCCGGGAATCAAGTTACAACCCCCCCCCCCCCCCCCCCCAAACACAACACACACACCCCCCCAAACACAACACACACACACACACACACACAAAGTAATTAGTGTAAATTATTCTATAGAAAAATAAATATAAAAATAAAAAATAAAAAGATATATATTTTTTAAAAAATTGAGTTAATATAGAAATTTTTTTTATTATTTTTTATGAGTTTACATGTTATTTTTTTTTCATATGTCTATCTCTTTACTTAAAAATAAATTTATAAAATAATTATTATACATATATAATATTTATTCTTTTAATATTACAAAATTTCTCGGTATAAGTGCGTGCTCCCAGTTTGTTCTTTCTTCAAACGAGAACTGATCAGAAGCCAAAATTATAACTTCGAAGTTAGAAACTATAGCAATGAGCACTGCTACTCCAACTATCAAATTTCGCTTGCTCATGCTCAGGGGTACGGTTTTTTTTATTAATGTTTCTGGAAATGTAACGCTTTCTTGGTGCCACTTCTACAAATCCAAGTTCTCGTCATGTTTCCAGTGTTGGAGTTCTTCAGTGAGTGTTTTTTCATTTGCTTGGTTAATCGAAGTTGTCATTTCTTTTCATGAGTTTGTTTGTTTGATAATTTTCCTTCACTCTTCAAGGCAATGGACATATTGTAGAAACCATATAATTTTTTATTCAACTGCCCCTTCCCCCAAATATCACAAGGACTATTTAACCAAATCGTGTATGTTTGCCAATTTCAAGCAAGAAAAATTTTCAATATTTATATTGAGGTCCATCGCCATCCATTTTAGAGGAGCTATGCTATCTTTTCTAGATGGCTTTGTTATATACAGGAAGAAAGCTTTAGTAGATCATAGAGAGTGGAGAAATCTGCATTATCCTATTAAATCAATAACATGCAGTTTGATAAGTTATATTGAAATTAATTTTATTTAACGCAGTAAGAATGAATTGGTGCATATTTTCTTTTCTTTTTTCCCTTATATTGCCTTCCATTATGTTCGATCAAATTTCACCAAAAGTTTAAAACTTTAAATGATTTGTGCGGGGCATTGCAGACGGCACAGGTTTGTATGTCTCTACAGGTTCAAAATATGATGGATGGCAGGACGAGAGAAATTTTATAACACATAAAGAGTAAACGAGTGGCATTTATAATAATTACTCCATAGATTTATTCGATAAGAGAGATTGACATATTGAATTACATCCGGATCCACCAAAAATAATAAAAAAATTTCTACGTTCTTTTAATTTTTTTTAATTTTTTCTCTCCTATTTCTCTTTTTTTTTTTATTATTTCTATTTTTCTTCTCAAAGTGGATCCATGAAGTAACTACTATATATGTCATTAATTACTTCTTGTGTGTTATAAAATTTCTCGATCAATGATACCATCCTTTGAAAATTTGAGATGTGATGTTCCTAGAAATACACAAATGCTTCTTTTAGAAGCAAGAAAGGAGTCTAGCATTGACGGTCACCTTCTACATTTTGTTATTACCTCACCTGGATGGACAGTTTGACGATAGTTTGCAAGGATCAACTACGGATGAAATTCAATGTGTTCATTTTTAATAACGAGAGATGGATATATTGAATTACATCCGGACCGATCAAAAATAATAAAAAAAATTTCACGTTCGTTTAATTTTTTTAATTTTCTCTCTTTTATCTCTCTCTTTTTTTCTATATCTCTCCTCAAAGTAGATCTATGAAATAACTACTATACATATCATTAATTACTTCTTATATATTATAAAATTTCTCGGTCAATGATACCATCCTTTGGAAATTTGGAACGTGATGTTCCCAAAGAGACACAAATGCTTCTTTTAGAAGCAAGAAAGGAGTCTAGCATTGACCGTCACCTTCTACGTTTTGTTATTACCTCACCTGGATGGACAGTTTCGCAGTAGCTTGGAAGGATCAACTACAGATGAACTTCAACTTTGCACTGAAAGTGGGTGGTTTGCCTTTTATACCATGTAACTTCGTTTTCTTATAGAATTACATTTGATTTTCTTGGTTTCAGATTCTCATCAGTTTTCGGTTATTATGTTCATTTATCATCGCTGCAGGAGATCCTGATGTCCAAACTTCGCAAGTGGTAGAAGCAGTTTTTATACATTTAGGGGAAAACTCATTTGAGCTCGTAAGGGATTCTGTTGACTATGTCAGTTCTATAAACCTATAATTAATCTATTGGATTTACAGGTAACTTATGGCATGTTTTGGTACAATTGTTTATTGGTGCAGGATATTGGAAAAGCACAAAGGTTTTTTCAAGCACATTGAGAAAAAGATGGTCATTAAATGGATCCTAGTACTCAAGTTCTTGAAAAATTATCCAATGAAATTATGTTTAGAAAAATCCTTCTCTAGTTTCTATTGACAGCTTCCTGCACACCTAGACTAGACTGGTTTGGGTGGAAAACCTGGGATGCATTTTATACTAGAGTGGAAATGTTTAGGTCCTGAGAGAGAACGGATTTGATTTGTTGAGCCTTCAAGGATTGGTGACTTTTATGAAGATCTTCACCGCTACCTTGTGAGCTGCGGAGTCGATGGAATTAAGGTTGATGTCCAGAATGTGTTGGAAACTCTTGGGACAGTTATGGTGGCCGGGTCTTATTGTCAAAATGCTACCGTGAAGCCCTTGAGGATTCTGTAATACGGAACTTCAACAACAACTTAATTTGCTCCATGAATCAGAACACGGAGAACGTTTACAAGTATGTCCAGATCTTGAAAGAGAGAACATGATATACAGATTTTACCTTGCAATATGATAATAGAAAAGTAATTTATTTTCCAACAACAAGAGTACAGCTGCCAGAGTGTAATAATCCGTCTTAAAATGATATTTAAATTAAAATAAATAACTTTCGGGCAGTATATAAAGAAAAAACGGAACAGCTGTTGTCCCTCTTTTTTTTTTCCTTTCTTCTTCCCCTCTCCTTCTCACTCAAACTCCCTATTTTCCTCCCAGTTCCCTCCTTCGATTTTTAAGCTAAAACCATATTAAATTGAACTAGAAAAAACTATAAACAAGTCGATTAAAGTAGAGCTTAGCTGGATTAAAGCTTGGAAAGCTTGGAGAGTTTAGGATTGAAATTGAAGTTGTAGAACCAATTGTCAAAGGTAAAAATTTTATCATTTTGTCTTTAAATAGAGATATTTATAAGTGTTTATTGATGAATTTGAAGTTGATTGGTATTGGGTTTGTAGTTAGAATGAAGAATTGAGTTAGGTTAGGTTAGTGCTTGGATCAAATTCAGAGGTTTGTTGATTAAATAATTAGTTATGTTAATTGATGCTTGAAATATGATAATAGTGGTGTGAAATTGATTATTGAACTATGAGTTTAAGAAACTTTCAAGTTAGTTAAAGATGATGAATAGTAAGATATGAAATTTTGAAATGTTGACGATGATGAATAGTAAAATTTAAATTTTAGGATTTATCGGTTAATTGTTAAGTAAAAAGCTTAATTATTAGCTCATTAATTGGAGTGGAAGATTTATTATGGATTGATTTAATGATAGGAATTAAATTGTTTTGGAAGTTAAGGAAGAATGATGAGTTATGCGGGTAAGTTAAATGAACAAATTGCATTGGAAATTGATGATTGAATATAGTTAGGTAATTGCTTAGAATTAGTTGAAAAAGTAACAGTTTAGTTAAAGTCATTTATTCGAATCTTTCCAATCAATTCTATTCTTATAGATAATCTTGTATCCCAACTTCTAGAATAATTCATTTGTTTTGAATTATTTTTCGATATGTGATATTGATGGTTATTCCACCATCTTGTGCTATTAGATTCTTCAAAATGGATGACTTCATTTCAGCAACTATGATTTCATTCGATCCTTCAATTATACTCGTGAGTGGATAATATATAACATATTATGCTTTTAAATTCCTTCAACATATATGTCAAGCATCATTGATTTAATTATGATATAAGCACATTCATTAGAACTTAGACAGGAATGGACTCCTTAGGCATTTGAAATGTTTTAATATCGAAAATGATTTGATATGATTATAAAAAAGGATTTGAATATATGAAGTTTGATATGTATTTATGGATTTAAATACTAGTTTGATTTAGATCTCTATTTTGATTTATTCGGATAATTTTA